GTATGCTCTTATTTTTTTTTTTTTTAACTTGGGTGGTGGTGCTGGAGGATTGAGAGGGGAAAGAATGAGAGACAAGAGGTTGGGAGCGTGGGCTGGGGGAGGGGCGAGGTGAGGAGACGGGCTCCGGGGTCCCCCACGCATGGCCACCCCTCCCAGCCACCATCTGGCGCGAGCGGGTTGGCGTGGGGAACCGAGGTGGGGCGGGGGCCGGCAGATGGGCCCAGGCTGCGCTCAGAGTTAATGTAGGTTATGGGCAGGCGGAGTCCCGGCCGAGGGAGGGGGAGCTCGGGGCGTGCCTCCGGGCGATCCTGGCAAGTGGGCTCTCCGATCCTCTCTCTGCCCAGACTCTATGGATCCCTAGACTTGCCAAGGATGCCAGAGGGTGCTCTCTGCTCGCTTGGAGCTGGCATCCAGCCCTACCTAGCCATGTCGTTCCCATCTCTAAATCCTGTCTTGGGAGTTCACAAAAACAACCTCCGCTACCCTGTTCTGGCACTTTCTTAGCCCTCAAGGCAGACATCTGGTTCAACCTGAGACCTCCGCTCTCAGCAGTGGTAGCTCTCTCCCCTCCACATGGGCAAACGGACAAGGACCCAACCACGGGGTCGGATGTCATTATCCTCAGAGACACAGAGTGCCAGGGGTCCTGGTCATCTGGAAAGTCTGAATGGAGAGAAAAGATGAACTTCTCAATGTCGATAGGCATTTATAAAGCAGGGTGTTGTCCCAGAGGCACATTCCCAGCTGGGACACTACCTTGGCCCTGGGTACCTACTAGCACACCCATCTGCTGGGGGCTGAGCTTTGCCTACGTTGGCTGAGCAGGAGGGGGTCGCACTGTGGGCAGGGAACTCCAAAGGCCCAGTGTCCCCCCCCCACAGACACACAGCTGGAGCCCCCCCTCCCACTGCCAACTTGCTGATGAAAGAATGCAGTATGCATCCTTAGGACTTGCAGGAGCAGGAAGCTGTCGCCATGAGAGGCTGCAGATCACCTATGGGGTTGACCCACGTTGAAGTCTGCTGACCCTGTTCCTAATACAGATGCTCCACCATGCCTTGGAACATGGGCACAGACCCAGGACTGGACAGATCTGTGTTCCCTGGGACAGTGGGCCTTCCATGGGTCTGGGTTTCTTAACCCACCCACACCCCAACACTGGGAGTGGGAGCGGGGTTTGAGACCTGTCCACAGAGGCCTTCTGCATCTGTTGCCCCCCAGAAGTGACTTGGCCACTGCACACAGTCGCCATGGTAGGCAGAAGCAGCATCTGAGGCCGGGAAACGTAAAGATTGCCTTCCAACCATGCTCCCAAATTGACCCCGGGTTACTGGAGTGCGACAGGAGCCATAAAGCCTCGGACTCCTTCCAGACAGTATAGTCCGTGCACCTCAAGGCCACGGGAGCAGCTCGCAGGTCTCCAGCGCTGCTTTTACCTCTGCTCTCCACCGGCCCCGTCCCAGGGGACAGCTTTCTCCGCGGGCCACACTGCATCGGGGTCGGAGCGCGGTGGGGGCCGAGCCACAGCGCCCGCTGGGCAGGCCGGGGGCGGGGAAGCAGGCCTGGCTTGGGCGGGGCGCTTAAGCCTTGAGGGGCGCCGCTGCGGTCGCTGCGGAGAAGGGGCCACGTGCAGGGAGCGGCGGCCCGGGAGCTGCACAGAAGGCGGGGAGATTTGCAAACTGTTGCTGCCACATGGCTGCTCCATTCGATCCATTCACATTGAAATGAGGCCGGCGCGTGCCTCATCTGCCGCAGGGCGCTGCCACGCGTCAGCCCGGCCCTCCGCGTGCCAACTGGGGCAGTGGGGCTGGCAGAGCCTGCCCGCCGTGGGGGCCCAGCCCGGGTCCTGAGGCCAGGAGGGGGTCGGGAGAGAGTCGAGCTCCCCGAGTTACTCAGGCGCCACAGTTTTGCGGACCTTGGCCCTGCAGTTGGGAGTGAGCCGAACAGAAAGGACGAGGACCGGCGGGGGGCGGGGTTCAGAGGGGGGTCAGGATCGATGCCGCCGCTCCCCGCAGATGCGCCCCGGCAGCGCTACTCTCCATCTGCCGCTGCTCGCACCTGCCGGTCAATAAATCGATTTTACAATTTAATGCAGCAGCTTCCCGCCCGCCTGGGACAGATGCCGCCGCAGAACCACCTCCGCCCTCACCCCTCCCCTCGAGGGGCGCCAGCGGTTAGGGACGGGATTCCCGCTCAGCAGGCGGCGCCCCGCCGGGCCTGCTTCGCGCTCTCTCTGGAGCCCCCGAAAA